CTTCTCATCACTTCCTCTTTTAAACGCCTTGAAATTGGCCTCTGTCTCTTTAAGAACCACCTTCCGCTTCCGTCCCGTAAGTTTCAGCCGGGGTGGGGGGGCTATGATGCAGTTGTTTACTTGCCATCTGAAAATAAATTTCCTCAAAGGTATTTTGAATCTGAAAAGAGCTTCGCTGAGTGAGCAGTAGTGTTGAGAGCAGCAGGCAGTTTAAGTTTCACTTTCACTTTGCTGTGTTACTGCCGAGGGCCTGCAGGAGATATGGGCGGAGTGTGTGGGGTGGAGGGTGGGGAGGTGTGCTTCGTGATGAGGAAGTTCGGCTTAAAGACACGTCCCAGGGGCATTTATGGCCCCCAAAGGCGTTTCTGGTAGCCTGGCCCKTGCCTTCCTACGCAGCTCCGCTCAATTCTAGTTTCCCTTCACTGCTCCGTCTGGAACTTCTCCCATAGACAAGGATTTCGCTGGCAGATCTTTAGCCGGGCCAATCAGAGAAGAGAACGTCAATTTTCCGCGCAGTGTCTGCTTGTAGTTTATTTTACCTGGGCCAATCAGCAAACAGAGGGTGGAGTTTTGAATGACGTCGATGTTCTGCGCAGTGTCTGCTAGTTAGTTTAGCATACGGCAGTGGAGGAAGTGAATGAAGCCAGTCTGTGTTGATAAGGCTTCCAAATTAAGTTAAACTTGTCTGACAAAGCAGCAGCTCTCATTTACAGTCGTCTTGTTCGGCTCGGTATATTTCTCCTCTCAGTAGGGTTGTTTACAGCACACGCGACTTCCGGTTAGCTTCTGAGCTTAGCCTCCGTCACAGCGACAACACATACATGCTTCAGCAGAGGCCACGCCTCCTGCATGAAACGCTTGTCTATGCATCAAGTCCAGACCCCAGTACGAAGCAAAGTGAAGGACAGGGTCTGGTTTTAACCAGGCTACGTTTCTGGTCCCCACCTGTCGTTTTGCTCCTCAGCATGGATTCCTAAAAACACTGCAGGATTTCTCAAACATGCATGAATGAGTCAAAGCAAGGCTTTGGGCATGTTTTTTTATGAGAGTATAACATTATAACATGATATAAAACTCAAAAAAGTTGATTTTACATGATATTGCCCCTTTAAGTCACCTTTTCTTATTGTTTGCGTCCTTCCTCCTCTTCCTCTGTTTTTATCTCCACTTGTAGGTTTTGTACCACCTTTTCGAGGAGTTTGCCGTCGATGGCTCAGTGACTGTGCTGGACGGCTTCCTGGGAGTCATCTCCTTCCTCGTCGTAGCGCTGGGCGGCGTTCTCATCGGCGTCATCTACGGGTTCCTTTCTGCCTTCACCTCACGCTTCACCTCCCACACCCGCGTCATCGAGCCGCTTTTTGTCTTTGTGTACAGCTACATGGCTTACCTGTCCGCTGAGGTCTTCCACCTGTCCGGCATCATGGCGTAAGTTTTCATTTAGTGTCAGACTTGCGCACTTTGAGTGGAAAAAGGCAAGAAGAGCTATGATGAGTTTGTCTTATTTGTATTGAATGGTTTTGCTGAAAAAGCTAAACCTGAGTTGTTAAAGTTAAAGGAAGCAGAAAAACAAAGCATAGTGCTAAAAACTAAAACCAGAACAGTAGCTAAAGTTAGCATTAAAATGATGCTATGATCAAAATCAACAAATTCTATGCTAAAGCTAAAATTGGCAGCACAGTATTAGCTAAAGCTAGCAAAACAAGTGGTGAAATTGTCTGAGCTAAAATTAGCAAAACTGTATAAAAGGTAACACAATGTTKGCTAAAAAATAACAAAAAGGTAAGCTAAAAGCTAATAGTGGTAGAAACAACTGCGTCAGAAATTGAGTTTAGTTAAATGATTAATTATGTTGAATATTTACATAAGTGTAGGCACTTTGACGTTGCTATTCTGCAAAACAAATGTTGTAAATAGTCCAAGCAAACATGTGAATACTTTTGACATTTTTCAGTTTCTTTATAACCTMTTGTGTTGGCTGCAGAATGCACTTCATGCTGTCCTGTTTTGACAAATGCATTTCTGCTTAATGATGGCGTCCCAGTCTATGTGCAGCCGTGCAACTGCAGCAGAACTTTGGTTCTTTGTGACAAATAAAACCCAGAGAGATATTAAACTGGTGCTCTAATCATGTCTGGATTTATCGTCTTCTCTACATTTTTTGAGGTGGCACTTCATCAGCTCCTCCAGAACGTCGTGATCTATTACCTGCGATGATGCTGACAGGAGGCTCTGATTTACACCTCTACCCTCTGACAGGGCCAGTGTATTTGTAGCTTCAAGGAGAAGCTTTTTCTTTTTCTTTGGGATGCCYAAAGCCTTGAAGCAGTCTTACTGCACCTGCCAACAGATTCTGCATTCAGCTTTGTAAATCATTTTTGGGAGAAAGTTCCTGTTGTGATTTTTTTCATAACTTCTTTAAGGCCTTGAAAGCCGAACTAATGATATATTATACCCAATATATTCTTTCACAAGTGGCAGAAAAGGCAGGAAATGCTCATCAGTTTCTGTGACTCACGAGGCACATTTACAAAGACTGATTTACTTCCACATTTTTGACACACAACTGTTGCATGACTCTAGTGGTTAGCAGACATGGAAGGAAATGCAGAAACTGAAGCACTTTACCTGATAACTCGAGTCAGCTGCTTTCTTTAAACAAATCACGTTTTCATTCAGCAGATTTGGAGAACACAGTGTTCAGAATCGTAATATACWGTATTATCATACGTGCATTTGCACATTTTGGTTTGTTAAAGCGAAGCTTAACGATTGATGTCTCTCTGCTCAGTTTAATAGCCTGCGGCGCGGTGATGCGACCTTACGTGGAGGCCAACATATCCCACAAGTCCCACACCACCATCAAGTACTTCCTGAAGATGTGGAGCAGCGTTAGCGAGACTTTAATCTTCATCTTTCTTGGTGTGGCGACTGTGGATGGAAAACACCAGTGGCACTGGATCTTCGTCACATCGACAGTCATCCTGTGTCTGGTTGCCCGAGTCATAGGTCAGCTCGAAGTATTTATTCACACCTGTCCTAATAATCCAGTCAATTCTGATATTTGACAAGCCATTAGCATAGCTTGTATGAAGACTTTGCCTCTTTCTCCATACTAAAACACTTAATGTTCTTAAGATTACATCCTTACTGTGTTTGATTTTATTATTTAATTGTTATTTTTTTGCTATAAAGAGCATAATTGAAATGTGGAGTTKAATAGGACAGCAGTTTAGTAGAACTTGCATTGTGTGAAATGATTTATCACAAATTGTTGTTGATTTTACAATGTCACAAGTTCTTCTGTTGATCATTTGTTAGTCTAGTGGAACAGTGGTCAAAATAGAAAATAAAAGAACCTTATCCTTAGCAAAGTCATATGAGACGGACATAAAATAACCTGAGTTCTTATTTTTATTTTTATTTTTAACAGGTGTGGTCAGTCTTACATTCGTAATCAACAAGTTCCGCATCGTCAAGCTGACCACCAAAGATCAGTTCATCATCGCGTACGGTGGCCTGCGAGGTGCCATCGCCTTTTCCCTCGGCTTCCTGTTGGACTCTCACCACTTCCCCAAAAGAGATATGTTCCTGACGGCCATCATCACGGTTATTTTCTTCACAGTCTTTGTTCAGGTATGAATGCAGACCAGATTTTTAAAAATTTACTTCAATAATTATACCAGCTGTAAAAAAAAAAAATTAAAAGGCTTAAAGCTTGTCTGGGACACTAACCTGCATCTGTCATGTTGGTTTGCTAAAGAGCTTTTGATGCAGCAGATTTGCATTAATGCACCTAGTTTGAATTCGGTCGCTTATGCTGGTGCGTAAATTTGTATTAGAAAAGTTTGAAGCTGCTGGAGTCAGCTGTGGCACTTTGGTACTGATGGATGGATGAAAGAGGCAGCGTAAAGTTAGTTTGTTGGGTAAGACTGGAAATGTCTTTTTTTAAACTATTTTTAACTAATCTGCAAACTGTGCCCTTGCATGCAAGCTGATTTATTGAGATTTTTATTTCCTTGGAGATGACNTTGAGATTTTTATTTCCTTGGAGATGACTTTCTTTGATTTTGAGCAACTTTTGAACTCTCGTATGTTTTTATTTATTTATTTATTTATTATTGTAAGATAGCATTTAATTTTGTCTTCTATAAGAGCAAGATAATAGAAGATTTGGGATATTTTATATCCAAATCTACTAAGACACACAAGGTGAGCTTTGATTGTGTCATCCACTTTTGGCTATTACTGTTARTCGGATGAACGTTTTAATCTCTTCAGCTACCAGAACGATGCACTCAAATCTTTAGGCGCAGACAGGTTGAAGGATGCACAAACTGCTCCCATCTCAGAGTAATGCAACGTTGGCTCAGGTTCTCGTTTATGATGTGAAAGTGAAAATATAATGAAATAAAAGTCAAAGYGGTGTGTGCACCAGCAGAGAGGGAAATCTGTAACGTTTTACAGGTTATTACTCCCCTTGTTCTAGAGAGGTATTGAAGCAAAAAATGAATTTAACAGCTGAACTGATGTGATCAGATGAAAGGATCAGCAGGAAGTGCTGCTGCGTGTTTTTAGAATTTACTCAGGCACAAAAAAAAAAAATCCCAAAATGCTGATAAAGTTTTCAGAGTTTGAAAACACTTGTGACACACTRGTGATAAGAACTTATTTTTAGTTTGGAGATATGGGTGTGTTTTAAATGAATACTTCTTTGTTTCACTTATCCGTCATGAAGGGTATGACCATCAAACCCCTGGTGGAGCTGCTGGCAGTGAAGAAGAAACAAGAGGCCAAACGTTCAATTAACGAGGAGATCCACACCCAGGTGCTGGTCTTTTTCTTTTTCTTTTTCTTTTTTTTTCTTAAAAAAAGTTTGTAAATTAAACTGCACAGCAGTCAATTGCAGCATCCCTTGCAGTTGTTTTAGTTGTGGAAAATGCAGCTGGTGTTTTCCACTCAACACTTCTGAGGCTTCTTAGTAAATGAAAGTGTGATCTTTGCCCCCACCTACTGGCTGTTTGATGGAACTTTACTTCCATTAAATAACTTGTTTTCTCATTCTCTTACGTTTGATTTTTACCTCATGTTGGATGTAACTAAAACAAAATGTAGCAGGTTGAATGTTACAGCWCTGACATTACTGAACAGCTCTTGACACACGCTGTATATACACATACACACGCACACACTCGCACACAAACACCCGCCTCTCSAGGGCTTAGCGATGAGTCACCAGTACTCCAGACAACAGCAGCAGACAGCCCTAGTGGCTCCTTCAAAGTAAAATACCGGTGATTAGAGGGAGGAGAGTCAAACCAGCCATACAATGAACGCAATAATCTAAAGAGAGACACCCAGGATTCTTACATGCTACATGTTCATTATCTGATTTATTTGGGTTGGGATGGAATTCCTGTTTATCCAGCAATAAACATAATGTGGATTGTTTAAAACAAAGTATTTTTTGTTGTTGTATTTGGATGAGAGTAATGTGGTAACTCAGAATATTGTTTGRCTTAGATGTGCTTTTTACAGATACAGCTGTATTATTATAAGGATTATATTATTTTGTCTTGTAAAATGAGTTTAGAATTTCAAAAATGACTGAAATCATCTCTACAGTATTCAAACCAGTCTCTTCTGACAGCGTTTCCACMTGCGTCTCTCCTCACACGTCAGACAGACATAAAGTGAAAACAGAAGAGTTTAGATGTTTTGTAAAAATCAAAAGCTGCTTGTTTGTGTTGAATATTTAGCTCAGTTGTCAAATGCGGACTAACTCTAAAGTGCTGGGCAGTTTATGTAAATCACTCACCTGTGCCAACGCAGACTCTGGTAAAACTGTGTGTTGCTAAAGCAACGGCGCCCGTCAACACCGTCATCGACGGGCTTAGTCAGAGCACCGGGGCGATCCGCGGGTCRGCTGCAGTCAGAACAACAAACCTGCACACCTGTGCTTTTCTCTGGGTTTCTGTTRTTTAAGCTCAGTCCAGTCAATCATCTGTCGGCTGCTGCTGCGTTTTTCTTACAGATTCTATTTTAAAATTTGTCTGCGTTCAGAAAAYCCATGCTGCCTGTTTCTCATCGAGTGGGTGTGTTTTTTTTTTGTTTGTTTTTTTTACCGTAGGGAACTGAAACAGCAGTGAATCAAAAAGTACATGATGTACCCAAGTAAAGTGCCGCTGTTTATATATTTAATCATAAAGAAATGCTTGTTTGTTCCAAGGAGCATCGTTTTAGAGACCTAAAAATACAAATGAAAATAATTGTTTTTGTCTCATTTGTTTATTCTGAGTTTTACTGAAATATGAGCAACATGAGTTGTGGGACTGTTTCTCAACAACTTCTCTGTTTTTCGTCTGCAGTTCCTCGATCACTTACTGACTGGAATTGAGGACATATGTGGACATTATGGACACCATCACTGGAAGGACAAGTAAGGATTACACCAGACTTGATTTTACACATTTATAGTCATGAGGGTTAGTTMGGCCGTTCCCAAAGTGAGGGGGGCGCAGTGCCATTGCGGGGGGTTTGGGGGCACTGAATTGAAAAGTATGACAAAGAAGTGAAGATTAAAGAAGTCATTCCTGCTCAACAAACTTCTCTCTGGCAGTTTTTCGTGTTTTTAAAACCATTTTGCGCAGAGAGGCATTTTTCTTTTATTCACTGGTAGCAATGTTGAATTAGTTTGTTTTGCTTTTAAGAGTGTAAGAAAAATTCGTATTCAATAAACTGAAGTCGATATTAAAACCACCATTGTTAAATAAAATGATTTTTAGAAGGAATCAAACCATACAACACCAGAATTCTGGATCTGAGTGAGGTTTTATTGCCACCGAAGCTGACAGGAAACCAACACTGGCGAAAAACCAGGAAGTTCATCAATTTATACAGGTTCTTCAATGCCTGCGTTCGCCCCCTACTGACCTACGGCTGAATCACAGGCAATCAGACAAAATCCTCTTCTAATGTCCTCACGTTTGATTATGTGTTGTTATAATTCAGACATGTAACTAATCTATACCAATCAAAACATAATAGATTAAACATTGTCAAAATTATAAAAAGGAAAACCTAAAAATATAGTGTTGTGCTTTTAACATCAGTACTAACCTCTAATAACTATAAATGTCTTCAAGAGGTTGTAGTTTATTTTATTTGCAACCTGTTATTTATTTCAGTTAACTTTTTTTTAAATTTCAATTTAAAAAAAAAGGTTGAGTTGTGAAATAAACTACAACATATCTGTGTATCTGATTGGAGATTGTGTGTGTGTGATGGTGGGGTGAATTATTATTACTTTTTTCCCAGCAGAAACCTTTTGGGGACCACTGAGTTAGATTGTGCTTAAATGTTTTGTCATTGGTTTTGRTTTCTCCCTCCTGTCCTCCTCTAAGACTGAACCGCTTTAACAAGACGTACGTGAAGAAGTTCCTGATCGTAGAAGAACGCTCCAAAGAGCCGCAGCTCATCGCCTTCTACCACAAGATGGAGATGAAACACGCCATCCAGCTGGTGGAGAGTGGGTCCAGACTGCCCTCTGCGATGCCCTCCACTGTTTCCATGCAGTGAGTTTTATGAAGCTGGATGCTGTTTTATTTCAACTAAACTCTGAAATTGTTCTGCGTCTGTGACGGATTAAATCAGTTTATTTTTAATAATGAAACATTCAGCTGCAGGTAATAGAACTGACATAATTTACAGCTCAGAAACAAAAAGGGCTTATAAACCTCGAAGCTTAATTATGATATTTTTTCACAAATAATATAAAACAACCTATTATTATTAGGTCTTTTTAATTTAAATTCATGAAGAATCACAACTTGTTTTTCAGGATCACAATAGATGACAAACTAAAATAACTTCTCTATTAATTATATATTATATTTTATCTTATTTGATTTCAGTAATGCTACAAAAAGCAAATTTGTTTGTTTTATTTTATGGTAAAACCCATAAAGATTTGCTATAAACATAAATACAAACCTTAGGAAGTTATTATCTTCAATAAAAAGCAGATTAAAGTGGCCTGTTGTTGGGTTTTTATAACACTAAATATGCCTTGCAGGTTTTGTTTGCCTTTAAATGTTTTCATCAGTTGAAAATACAAAGCATCAGAGTATTTTTATTTTTTATTTTTTTCCAGGAACATTCAGCCCAAGGTCCCTCCTGCTCCTACAAAGCCTGCAGAGAGAGCTCTTCCACAGCTGCGCAAAGGCCGAGAGGAGGAGATCAGGAAGATCCTGAGGAGCAACCTCCAGAGGACACGGCAGAGGGTAACACTTCTCATACTTACATTAGGTTTCACTGACAGCTGAGCATTTAATTAATTTGAATTGTTTCTAAAAAATATTGCTACTTTATTAGTTTACAATGTGTTATTACAGTTTTTAAATACATATATAAATATATGTTAGTGGAAATTTGTTATTGTGAACATCGTGTGCTGAATTAAAGAGCAACGTTACTGTTTTAGTCATGTCTGTTCTCGTCCTCAGTTGCACTCTTACAACAGACACACTCTGGTGGCTGATCCCTACGAGGACGGACTTAATGACCTCCTTCTGAAAAAACAAAAGATGTTTGAGCTCGACAAGAAGGTGGGCGACACGTCTCAGATTAAAACTCTCTTCATAAATAGTCAGCAATCATTAAGGCATTTTATTTCTTCTTTAATATCAGGAAGCACTAATGTTTTAGGTGTTAGATGCTGTATATCAAACTTTTCTGCGTAATATGATGTTATTCTAGTGGAGTGTTATGGAATAATTATGTATATCTGTTCTACCTTGACACTGTCCAGTAATCATATCTCATGATAACCAGTTTCGGCTGTTTTAATCTATCGGCCCAGACTTCAAGACTCCAGCRATGCATGACCTCTYTTATTTTGATAAGSTGTTYCCGGGCTGACAGCCCTGTCATTGGTTAGATGGTTCACAGTTGGCGAACTGTGATTGGTTGTAAGCATGTCACAGGATGTTATATTATCGGCTGCTCTGCGCTGAGGAGCCAGCCACAACTTGACAGACTTCTCTGATTGACTTCTGCTCTGTTGTTGCTCAAATTAAATCATTTGACGACCATACACGCAGACTTTCTGTGCATTTACTCCAACGTGTTTCTGCATTCTTGGTAAATCGTGCTACCACATGGAGTATGAGAGCTCCACATTGCTTCAGTCTGTTGATAGTTGAACGATTCAATCAAAATAAGGAAATGTTGTAATTAAAGTCCACCTCCAGTTTATTTAATTATAGCTTTTCAACTGATTTATTCTGTCATTTGTGTGCTGTTACACTTTCTTCCACCGTGTCAGCCTGTAATTACAAAATGAAACGGACTCCTTTTTAGAATCAGTCAGATTTAGTGGAAGTCACTGAGGACTCTGAGATTTCTGCAGAATCCCTTAAAGCAAAACATAATTTTAATTATGCTGATTATTGGTGACGCACTGAGCCCTGTTGGTTCAGTAATTAAATGAGCCAGAAAGTTGTTTTCTTGTCATATTTTTCTTTCTGTCTAAGCTTTGATCGTGAGTGTTCATGAAATCTATGTTTGCAAAACCCCTAAATAAAACCGAGACATCTGTGTTTCCCCAGATAAAGGAGATGACTAATTACTTGACAGTTCCTGCTGCTGCTCCAGACTCCCCAACTCTGACTAGAGCCAGGCTGGCTTCAGGTAAAAACATCTYGGCATCAAGCAGACATGTAACCGCTTCCACCATGCTGTTTTCAGATCAAAACCCACAACAAGAATTCACCTCATGGGACTGAGAGGGCTCAGTTACTGTTTTAAGTTTTCATAATAAAAAAGGATCCCATGAACAGAGGCGGAGCTAGACTTTTTTGCAAGGGGTGGCCAAGGTATATTTAGGGGGATACATRCACATAAAAATAAATTTAAAAAACGCTACTCATGATTTGAACATTTGAGGCGCCACCACAGCTAATTTCAAATAGCTCTAATTCAGCTGTTTGAAGAAATACTGAACTGAAACTTAAAAATTTTTGTGCTGATTGCTAATCCCATTACTGCTGATGCTAGTGAAAAGTTTTACGAAGGGCTATAATTCAGCCATTTTTAAATATACACWGCTGAAAATTTGTATAGTAGTAACCAAGAATGATCTTTAACAAAATCTGCATGCAAATACAAAATCCAAGATGGCCACCAAAGCTAATCCCAAATATAACTCAGCCAGTTTTAAAAATGCTGAAATTGGCTGTGGTGGTAGCCAAGAGCAATCTCCATGACATTCTGAAAGTTAATCTCAATTTTAAGCTAAGGGCTAATGCTAATTTGTGAAAGAACTATATTTCAACAAATTTTAAACACATTAAGCTGAAAATTGGTATAATAGTAGCTGACAATGTTCTTCAACGTATTCTGAATGCAAATAAAAAGTTCAGCTGCCCAAAACATTCTGCATGGCAGTCCGTATCCAAGTGTCTCAAGGAACTTTTCTAGTTGCTCCATGTCATTGCCATGTTACAGAGTAGCCACTAGATGTTGCCCAGTTTTCATTATTACACATATTTATTGCTTTATATTAATTCACTTGTTTTAGAAAGGTTTTTTGTTGTTGTTTTTCTTCACACTTCACACTGATAGGTTCCCTTTACACCAGATAAAACAACTGCTAGACAAATATTAACTCTTTTTTTCTTCTAACTTCTATATCTTTATTTATTATTTATTTATCTTCTATATCGCTATTCTTTATCTTTGAGATTCCACTTGTAAATCCTTTGGCACCTGGGTTGGTCAGTCAGGTGCCAGGGGTGTCACTTGGCACCCTGGCCACCCCTCTGGCTCCGCCCCTGCCCGTGAACCCTGCTACTGTTCACAGCTGCAGAAAATGATATCTCCCACCCCGCCGCTCATAGAAATACGTTTGCATGTTCCAGCCTCCATGTAAACCAGAGTGTGGTTTCATTTTAGGCAGACACACTGATTTCATACCTGCTCAACAGCATAAAGGAAAGTCTTCAGGTATGTAGAGAGTGTAGAAGGTCTCATTTTAAGCTGAAGTGACAGACAGCAACTCTAACACGCATGCTTGTAAATGTTTTACTACTTCTTCTTTGTCGCAGCGAGTCCTCCTCCTTCATCTCACTTTGTCCTCTGCATCCTCTGTCCTCACTGCAGCTGCTTCTATGTCCTCTCTAACTGCATCTATATACCTCCTCTTTGGCCTTTTACTTTATCTCCCTGTTGTTCAGCCTGTGCTGTACCTCTGATTTCMTTCCTAAKCTTGTTACTCCCAAGGAAAACCTAAACATCTTCATCTCTGCCACTTCCTGTTCTGTCTCCTGTCTGTTTGTCCACACCACTGTGTTCAGACCAACATATCTGGTCTCACTACTCTCCTGTAAACCTTTGCTGTTTCCCTTTTTGTTTACTATTAGTCTTTTCATTAATGATGAGGCAGAACAGGTCCAATTCTGATCAGCATGTTCCCAATAGGAAGCTTGAGCAGCACTTTCTCAGTTTTAACAATAGGTTTTTGTTTTTTAAGCATGTTTTCACCACACATCATTGTGACTTGTTCATTTTAGTGTTAAAAAAATAAAGGTCTCAATGCCTGCAGTCACTAGAGCAGTGACCTAAGGTCTGGTATTTGTTATCTGTGTCCTCCCCTTGTTCATTTTTTGTTTATGCATGCAGATGGAATGATGGCATAAGGTTTAATCTACAACCTCAGGTCTGGAATAATTTGGGACATGGTGTAAAATCTAAATTAAATCACAATAAGCCCACAGTTCATTCACAATGGAACATAGAAAATGTATTAAATGTTTAAACTAAGAAATCGTAATGAAAAACAAAAATGTATTTTTGAGTTTAATGGCAGCAACATAATAAAGTTGGGACAGGACCATGTTGTGAAGCTTCCCCTCTTCTTTTAACAACAGTCCTTTAGGAACTGAGGAGATCAGCTGTTTGGGTTTGTGGTGGGAATGTTGTCCCTTTCTTGTCTGTTGCAGGATTCATTTGACATATAGTACAACAGTTTATATACACAGTGACAAAACCAGTAATAAAGTAGTTATTGCACTTAGGATGTTTGGCTGGTCTTCGGAGTCTGAGTGGCCGATGGAAAGAAACCGTGTTTGAGTCTGTTGGTTTGCTGCTGTACGTTCTGCCGGAGGACAGCAGGCTGAGCAGGTGGTTACCAGGATGAAGGGGGTCTTTSAAGATCCTCTTTGCCCTGGAGAGACAGCAGCTGCTRGTGATATTGTCAAGGGAGGGGAGAGGACGACCGGTTACTTTCTCAGCAGTCCTGATCACCACCTGCAGCCTCTCCAATCAGCAGTGGTGGAGCCGGCGTACCACACAGTGATGGTGTTTGGCAGTACGCTCTCTATGGTGGAGCGATAGAAGGTTACCAACAGCTTGGTCTCCAAGTTGTTCTGTCCGAGTTCTCTCAGGAACTGGAGTCGCTGCTGGGCTTTCTTAACCACCGCTGTGGTGTTGAACGACCAGGAGAGGTTTGCTGAGATGTAGGTCCCCAGTAATTGGAAGTGGGGGACCTTTCCTTATCTGTCGCCATTGATGTAAGCCTTACTCTTCCTGTAGTCAATGACCATCTCCTTGGTTTGTAGGGTGTTGAGTGACAGGTTGTTCCTGGCACACCAAACTGCAAACCACTGCACCTCATCCCTACCGATTATAATCCCAACAGAGCAGTGTCATCTGCATATTTGATGATAGTGTTTGAGTGAGAGGGGTCATGGGTGTAGATGGTGAATAGAAGTGGGCTCAGCACACAGCTCTGGGTGGAGCCAGTGCTGAGCGTCAGGGTGGAGAAGCTGTGTGCACCAGTTCTTACAGACTGAGGACGATTTGTATGAAAGTCAATGATCCAAGCCAAGATGATCAACCATCCCGGGCTTCTTTACTTGATTTTTATGTTTTATTTTTTAAAAGTTCTGGACTGCAATTCACAATTGCAAATTTCACTATTTTTAGCTGCAGTTTACACACAAACACACACACACACACACACACACACACACACACACA